TCTCACCGAGTTCGCGCCAAGCTTCTGTATATGACCTGAGGACCACATCCCACTCCTCACCAAATGTAAAATGGAGAATAAATCTTCCCCAAAAAGTCTCAAGGTACACCTGCCATATTTATTTTCTGTTTCATATTTGCTTGGCGAGTGATCCGCGGAGAGGCCTTCACTCTCCGAATAGCACTTTCCTGGATGCACCGCCATCCTCGGTAAGGAAAATCCAACAGGCGGGCTGCCGGGTCCCACCTGGGCGGTTTTTCCATTTCTGGCCGTCGCCCGGCCCCGGGTAAGGCCGCTCTTGGGGCCCTCGCTCAAGCACGGACTACATGGGAAAGAAAAGAAATACGCTAGTGAGAGGATGAGATAGATGAGTACTACCGGTAGCAAAAAAAATGAGATAGATGAGAGAAGAAAAAGAAAAAAAGAAAAAAGAAAAAAAAAAAATGGTCGGCAATTGTATATCTCCACATTTTGAGACAACATACACCCGCATCTGCAGCACATATTTGGCATGGCAGTTCGCGAGGCGAGAGACTCTCGCCGTTTTTTTTTTTTTTTTTTTTTTGATTTAGGGCCAGATCCCACGAGCCCCTATTGCTCATTTCTGACCGTTGATCTTGGTAATCGAGGGTGAAAAATGAATAATCCAGGGTTGTGGGATCTGACCCTTTATGCGTGTCATCATTGCGCAGGGGCCGTTCTATTCTTCTCTGTGTCGTTCCAATTTTTACGGATGTCCCGAAGGACCGGGGCTAGGTCCCACTTACACGAATTAAGCGATATTGACCGTAGATAGCCAAGATCAACGGCCAGAATCTCTTAATCCGTTCAAGTGGGACCTTGCCCCCGGTCTGCGTTTTTGGTTGGAACTGGTGCTGTGGGGACCGATGAGAGAGGGTGCGCGGGCGCTCCTCTGCCTTGTGGCGCAGCCCGCAGCCACACAAAGCCATGAAATGATGTGTAGAATCAGAAATTGTGCCTCGTGTACAGCAGATTGATATGATAACGACCTGCCTTTTTTTTATCTGCATTTTCTGCGCCTCCGCCTCCTCTTCCTCCTTTTGATTGGCGCGCACTGCAGCCACGAAATGGGCCACGAAAAGATTGCGAATGAACATGATCGGATAGTCGGTGAAATGCATCCAGGAAAGTAGTGCCTGCACGTAGACGCGATATGGGAGTTGGGAACTTGGGACGCTGGCGAGGTGGAGGAAAAGCCTCACACCCACGACATGTGGCTCAATGGCAAACAGAGAGCCCTGAGTTTTCTCCTCCTTGTTTCTCAAAGTCACCTTTCACTATACCTAGCTGCCAGGCTACCACTACTAATACCAATCTGCTGTACACAAGGCACAATTTCTACTCATCATGGGTTTGTGTGGAGGGGGCTGAGGGGCATAAAATTCATAAAAAATAAGGCGAGGCCGTGGCTATACAGGGGACCCCTGCAAGCATAGCTACCTCTCATAATCAATCACAAGGTGACGCATGTTACCCCCCGCCGTAATCCGTGGTGGTCAGGGAGTAGGGCAGGCCCGCAGGTGGAGGCCCCGGCTAATACAAAGACCGAGCATTTTGCCCAGTAGCTGCGGCTCCGTTTTCTTCTTGCCCCACCCCCACCGAGTACCAGTAGTGTCTAAAGGCCAACACCCGCCCACTCCCCCCACTGCCCCTACTCCCCCACTCCCCACACACAACCCGCTCACACACACACTAACACCCGTGGGCAAGGTCCCACTTGCACGGATTACGATATTCTGGCCGTTGATATTTGCTCTACGGTCAATATCGTGTAACCGGGACCTTGCCGCGTGTTGGCTAAGGACCCTACTGATACCGACGAGGAGAGTGAGATCCTGAGTTCGAATGCTGCTCACACCGGAGGGTTCTACATCGTCGATGATACCTCACGGCCATCGCCCTTTGGACGATGAGGCCTCACGGCCATCGCCCTTGGAAAGAGCAGAAAAGCGACAAAAGCGAGGACACGCTTGTGCCCTCGACTTTTGACGAGGCGTCGACGGATCGACGGACTGACATCGGGGATGAAAAAGGGGCGAAAGTGAGAATGAGAATGTCACGAGGAGTCTCCGAGACTGCGGAGTCACTTACGTAGGGGGGCGACCGGACGGTCAGCCTTCGACCCGCCGGCCGACCGACGGCTTGCCGGTCGGTCGACGTCATTTCGTCCCCAGTGCACACTCGAACACGCTGCGACTTCCTCGACGGAACGTTTGGCCGCAAAGACGGTCAGATACGTCCAGGAAAGTCGTAGTACTAATAGTATAGTATAGTACTACGCCTTTAGCTATAGCTACTATAGCTCTGACTGGGTTTGATCTGGTGGTACGGCCGTGAGGGAACGCAGTTGCTGTTGCTGTCTCCTCCTCCCGCCTCCCCTCCTTTCCTGCTGCCTTCCTCGCCGCCTCTTCCCACTGGAACGCAGCCCAGGTGGGCGGGGGATGCGCCAGAGGGCGAATGAGCATGTGCATGTGCAACGAGAGCGCGCTGCACCATTACGGCGTAACTGTGGAGAGTTGCGCCAATGGTACGCGCGCGCAGTGCTCTTTTTGAGTCGTGGTGCGCCTGGTTGTCGGTGTTGTCTTGGTGGGCGGGTGTTGCACGGAGGAAAAGGACATGTCATCGGGAGACGTAATCGATCCGATCGGAAGTGGGCAGTAGCAAGTGAGCAGTAGCAGACAGACTCTAAGGCGGGGGAGGCAGATCTACTACTGTATCAGTGCAAAGCAACTCAGCGCAGCTTGGTTCAACTGCTGAGGGAATGGGCATACCAATGAGGAAAGGAAAGACGGGGCTCAGAGAGGCGGGAGGGAGGTTGGCGGGGACCGCTGCAGTGGTCTCTTGAGGGTCGGTTAGTATCATCGGTCGGTCAGCTGCAGGACTGTTGCGTCGGTTTATCGATCGGTTGTGGAGAGACAGGGTCGGGTGAGGGATCGAACTCGAGCCGATAGCTTCGGATCCGACCGAGGACAACTGCAAGCAGACCGCGGAAGTCAAATCCGGACTCATCTCTGAGACAATCAAACTCTCGACGTTAGAAAACTGCACGTGAAGGCAGGACTGGAGTTGGCACCGGAACTTGGTGGAGACGAGAACACTGCAGCTGCCCTGTGTATGTTTTGGCCTTTGGCGGGAGTCTCCCGCCTTGCAGCAAATGCGGGCGGGCTCTTGCAGCGAACCAAGACATCTGGGGTGAGCGTGGGTCGTCCCTCCCCGCCAGCAGATCTCTAGACGTTTACTGCTCGCATGGCTGCTAGCCATTTTTTTCTGTCCTACGTAGCGTGATCTGCTTTCAGCAGTCCCGGTCGTCTTCTGGTCTGGCCACGCTGTTCGACCCGGCAGCAGCAGCTGCTCCCAAGTGTTCATCGCGCACGGGCGGCGCACGTACTACAAAAACATATAACCCCTCGCGCGCCCGGACAAAGAGACACGAGCGCAAATACGGAGAGAGAGAGAGAGAGAGAGAGAGAGAGAGAGAGAGAGAGAGAGAGAGAGAGAGAGAGAGAGAGAGAGAGAGAGAGAGAGAGAGAGA